GTTTGTATATATATATATATATATATATATATATATATATATATATCTCATATATTTGTGGCTTATATCCTATTTCTATTGCATAGTACTCCAATTCTCTCCTTGTACTTCCTTTGCTGGGCCTATGTAGGACACATGCATACATGTAAGTATACACATGTATACATGTAAGTACACACGTGCACACATGTAAGTACATACATGCACATATGTAAGTACACATACACACATACCACACACACTCCTGAGAACTGTGAAAGGTAAGCCAGGCCAGTGAGATTATGTGACTGTCCCCAGATGCCACCTTTTTCAGAAAGCCTCCTCAGAATACTGCAGATCCCCCCTCTATGGGGCTTTGTTTCATCATTGGGAATCTTTCGTGGCCCAGCATGTCTCAGTCACAAACCACAGAAGCCATGATATTTGGTCTGAGTCGGGGAGTGTAGACTTGGAAATTCCTAGCAACCCAATAGTGATACGGACCAGACACAGGCATCTTGTCATCTTTGGAGAACTCTCAGTCCCATGCTGCAGACTGGAGTCTCCCCTTTATTCCAGTATTTTCCTTCACTGCTTTCTAACCGTTCTCTGGTGATAGCAGAGACTATTCTCCTGAACCTCTCCCTCGGGCCTCTCGATACCTCCTAACCATCTCTCCTCATGTAGACCTTGCTCTCTGCCCTTGTGCAGGCCTATTTAAATGCCTAGCTCTGTAAAGATGCAAAACTAGGGGGCATTCTCCACTGCTATATAGGCAGGCTCATCTGGCCTCTGGGCTGTCACGGAGTTCACTGGCCTCTGAGGAAGGAGGGGTAGAACCTGGAAAGGAAGAAGAGGGACTGGGATCCTAGGGTGCCCCAAAGCAGAGAAGAGAGGCCCTAAGACAATGCTACTAACAGCTGGAGTCCAGACAAATTTCAACCAGGAGCCAGCTAGACAGTCAGCATGGCCAGGCTGGGTTGGGATTGGGCTTGGAACAGGAAGATGTGTGAGGCTAGGACAAATACACTCAATGTTCAGGTTTAGAGCTTCCCCCTACTGGGGCCCACAAGGACACATGATCAGGCAGGGTCCCCACCCTAAGCTACTCTCTATGGTGTAAAACAGTAGCCCAAGAAACTCCATTTGACATGCAGGTTTTGACTTCTTTTTGAGGAAGGAGGATGACTCTGTACCTTGGTAGATAGCATCGCCATCTGTTGGAACCAACCACGTGACAGAGACCAATAAATGGCTTATTCTTGGCTGCCACTCTATAATATATGGAGACTGCAGGAGCAAATGGCATTTACAAATCATGTCAAGAAAACCAGATTGGAAAAGGTGCAACTGCCTTGAAGGACCCCCAAAAGAGGAGGACACCTAACTCAACAATAGCAATGGCCCTGTCAGCTTGTCACCTAGCCTGTGCAGAGGGTGTGTCAAGGGACAAAAAGACAACTCCCAACTGTTCCAGGGGCTTCCATTCAGTGTGGTTCCCACTGCTGTTGCAGCCTACTTGAATTGTCGTCTGCCTGTTTTCCTGTTTGTCTACCAGGGTCTTCTGTCTGTCCATCTATCTTGACCTGGTCCTGCCCTTTGCTTCACTGGCCTCCTCAGCCCTGCAATGCCTCTGAATTTGGATTCTTTTCTCTGGAGTTCTGTTCAAACCTGTGACTCCAACAGTGACTCCAACAGCCCTTCTGCCTTGGTTCATATTACCCCTATAGAGACTCTTTTTGTTTGCTTGTTTGGTTGGTTGGTTTTGTGTTGTTGTTTCTTTGAGACAGGGTTCCTCTGGAGCTCTGGCTGTCCTGGAACTCACTCTGTAGACCAGGCTTGTCTTGAACTCACAAACATCTGCCTGCCTCTACCTCCCAAGTGCTAGAATTAAAGGTGTGCCACCACCGCCCACCCCATGGAGACTTTGCTATTCTTTCATGCCTCTCTGGTCTCTTTTGAAATCTTTTGAACTCTTCTGTGGCCTTATTTTTTTCCCTCTTCACTATGTGAGTGTGTATGATGTACGATCTGAGAGTTAATATTAGCAGTTAAGATTGTAGTAAAAGAACCGGTGTTTGCCTTGGCCAGAGCTACCAAGGAAAGCAGGACTACTTGCTAAAAAGCTGCCAGTGAAACAGCTGTACCTTGTGGATTTCTTGTTATTCAACAAATTCTGACAATCTGAAAGGACACAAATGCATTCACCCATGTTTCTGACATAACACACTTATGGCATCAAGGCTGAGAAAGGGAACCTAACCACAGCCAAATCCTATGTTGGAGGTAGGCCAGAAGATACTAGAAGTATTGGGGCATTTTCTTCTTGCAGTCATGTCCCCATAAAATAATTGCCTCATGATAATGTTTTGTTGATAAAACAAACAGATCCACAAATTCCCCTGGCTCAACACCACAGAGGCAAATTCTCACTCAACTGTCTAAACTGGCTAATGTGGGTGCTCTTGGCTGGAAGGAGGCCATCCATTTGGAGACGCCTGAACTTAATGATTCTGTGTTCTTTATGGCCTCAGAGTCCTCTGCATCCAATAGGCAGACCAGAGAAGGGAGGTAGGAGATATATGCTCATCTCACCTCTCTTGGCCTGGATGAGGTTATGTTCCCTTGGTAAAGACTTAACTTGCTCCATCTTCATGCTTTTGGCAGCTCCATTCTGTATACAAAGCTGAGCCCGTAGATTGGCGTACTTCCTCCTCAGAAGGCCTCTTAGCTCTTCTTTTGTTTGTTTTTTGTTTGAGACAGGGGTTCTCTGTGTAGTCCTGGCTGTCTTGGAACTCCCTCTGTAGACCATGCTGGCCTCGAACTCACAGAGATGTGCCTGCCTCTGCTTCCCAAGTTCTGGGATTAAAGCCGTGTGCCACTACTGTTCAGGCATTCTGTGATGGGAGATGTCCTTCTGTATATATGTTCCTCTTATTGGTTGATGAATAAAACACAGATTGACTGATTGGCCAGGCAGGAAGTATAGGCAGGGCTAGGAGATGAGGAGAATTCTGGGAAAGGCAGGCAGAGAAAGCCCACCAGAAAGAGTCACCATGTAGGCCGCCAAAGGAGTAACAGATCTAGACATTCTCAGGTAAGCTCCCAAGAGCACATGGAAACACATAGATTAATATAAATGGGTTAATAATTAAGACAGAGCTAGCCAATAAGAAGCCCTAGCTACCAGCCAACAATTTTATAACTAATATAGCATCTGTGTGTTCATTTGGGGCTGAAAGGTGGCGAGACCAGCCGGGACAAAGAACCTCTCGTAACAATTCTTAGCTCTCCTTTAAGCTCCTTGCCAGTTATTGGTCCCAGGCCAACCTCTGAGAGGACTTCCAATGGTGGCACAGAAGGAAACCCAGGCATGCTCCTGGGGAGGGGGGGGAGGATGGCATAGGAGTGTCAATGTCATAGTTACATCCACACCATAGTCTCTATAAATTTCAGACATCCTGAGTACTTTCCAAGCTTCTTTTTCCTCAGAGGCCCTAGGATCTGCCCCCAGAGATGTAGCACAGGGAGGAAAAATGAACCTGTGGCTGGGTCTGGTGTAGGCAGCAGATGGTGGATTTCACAAAGGTTTCTGAGATCCCTTCCTTGCCTGGCCACAGACAGCTCATAGACACAGCACAGCATCACTTCAGGCTGCCCTTCCCTGGGCTTAATAGTAACTGTGCTGGTCAAATCCAAAGTCCCCCATAAGTAAGGACTGAATCAAAGGAAGAGGCGTGGGTGGGGTCCAGGCATGTCATGACATGCTCTGACCTGGGTCCTGTACCTCCAGCCAGGGCTTCTGACACACCTGCTGACAACAGGGAGAATGCCAAGAATAACTCAGGTGCTCTTCAGTTTATGACAAGATGACCAGACACCTCAAGAGGAGAGCATCAGGCCTCTGACAGAGGAAAAGCAAAGGGTGAATGACAGGTGAGTTACTCCTTCTCTTTGGGGCAATCAGAGGGGGAGTCCTGGAACTTAGAACTTGCAGGAAGGGTGGGGAGCTGGGAAGAAAGACTATCTTTGGCATTCCCACTTGTTTCTATGTGTGTGGTATTTTATCGTTCCAAAGCCGGTGAGGCAGGTGAAGCAGAGAAGAAAACAGTCACCACCATTTTGCAGGGAGAGGAGACAGAGGCCCAGAGAGGCTGATCTCCTTTCTCAAGGTTGCACAGGTGTTGGTAAGAACACAGATATGCTGCCTACCAGTGCTTTTGTTTTCAGACAAGTTTAACAAATGCATCTCTTCCTCAAGGGCTGGTCAGGGTAGGTCCCCAGGTGAGGTGAGAAATCCCTTTGCAAGGCCCAGACTCTCCCTGGAGGGCATCTTGAGTCTGGGTGCTCAGCCTCCTTTAAAGAACATGTGTTTCCTGTTTTCTTTCTCCCTCTGACTCAGGACAGAATAGGGTTTTCCTGAACGGAAGAGTCCCAAAGCCCTGCTTCAGTCCAGTCCACTCTGACTGGTCTGGGGCTCCCAGCTGGGATTACTCTGGAGGCTGAGCCCCTCCTCCTCCCAGTCAGAGATGCTCAGGCCATTATCATTCCTAATTCCGAACTCTCCTCACCCTAGATCTTGAACCCAGGGTCTTGACTCCCATCAGATAGCTTTGGAATCTCCTTTTCGAATTAATGAAAGTGCTAGAATTGATGCTGTCCTGAAATAGAGAAACTAAAGTGGGGACCTTAGCGAGCCTAAGACCCAGGGTCAGTGGCTTCACATCTCCCCCCTGACCCGCATCCACCACCCCGACACACACTGCTAAGGCAGAGGAAGACCTTAGCCAGCCTAAGACCCGGGGTCATCGGCTTCACATAGGGAGACCTTAAGGAGCTTAAGACCCAAGGTCGGCAGCTTCATAACCCTCCCCCCATGTTTGCCTCACTGTTCTCATTCCTCTGGAGGAGGTTGAGATCAGACACCACCCCAGCCTTCTAGGCAGCACCATGTGGAGTTGGGGAGGTCTGGGCTCAGGCTGTAATGGCTATGATATCGAGTTTGTGGATGCTGACTAGACATCTTTTTCTACAGTCTGGTTCAGGTGTCTTTTCTTAGAATATATCTTCCTCAGTCCAGGGAGATGCCACTAGGACTGATGACTTGGGTTCAATCCCTGGGACCCATATCTGACTTACACATGTCCACTGAGGTGCACACCACACACACACACACACACACACACACACACACACACACACACACACACTGCATAATATATTATACAGTATATGTAAATAAATGTATTGAAAAAACCAAAAGGATATAATTTAGTCTGCTTTTTTCTTTTATAAGATTTATTTTAATTTTTAATTGTGTGCACTGTGTGTGTGTGTGTGTGTGTGTGTGTGTGTGTGTGTGTTTGTAGGTACATGTATGAGGCAGGTGTCTACTGAGTCCAGAACAGAGTATATATCCTTAGGAACTACCTAAAGTTACACATGCTGTGAACTACCCTATGCGAATGCTGGAAACTGAACTTGAGCTCTCTACAAGAGCAGTATGCCTGCTCTTAACTACCGAACCATCTCTCCAGCCCCATCTTAGTCTGCTTTGTGTTATTATCACTAAAAGACCTGAGGTGGGGCACATTAAAAAGAAAAGAGGTTTTATTTAGCTTACAGTTTGGGAGGCTCAGACTCTGTGATCCCGTAGGCCACTCTGTGTGGCTTCTGGTGGGAGTGTTCTGTGACAGCATGGTGGATGGCATCACATGATGGGAGCACAAGCAAGGGTGTTGAGTATTGCACACATAACTAGCTGGTTCCTATGAGGAATCAGCCCGTTCTTTTGTGGTAAGCTTCTTCTGAAGGTGGTGTTCTCACTACCCAATTACTTCTCTCTTGAAAGTCCCACTATCTTTCCGGTGCTGTTGCTTTGGGGACCAAGTCTCTAGCATGGATGAAAGATAAACTGTATCCCATTCATGGCAGAAGAACAATACATGAAAGAAAAAATTAGAAGAAGCATATGAAGTCTGCAGAACCGTGGAGCTCAGTACTGGTGTAAATATAAAGAAGGAAGCTAGCTCCCATGATGGGTCCTAACCTGCATTCAGGGAATAGAAGGAAGCAGCATCCTTCCTTTGTCTGCCTGTGCCATTCCTCCCCCAATGGAGTGATCTCCTGAGGCTTGTTGGAGAGCTGGATCTATGTCTTGGGATTGCTCTTAAGAGTGTAGGGTGCCGACTGGAGAAATGGCTCGGCCGTTTGGATCCTAGCATCCATGTTAGGTAGCTCACAACCACCCATAACCCTGTAAAACCATGGGATCTGATGCTCTCTTCTAGCTTCCGTGGGCACTTGCACACATATGGTAGATACACAGACACAACATAAACTTTCTGTCTTAAACATATATAACTTTCTGTTTTAAGAAAAGAGGTGCGTGTCTGTGTGTGTGTGTGTGTGTGTGTGTGTGTGTGTGTGCATCTGTAGGATGTATGTATGCATTCATAGGTGCTTGGTGTGAAGAGCTTTGGGATGGGCAAATGTGTGTTCTTAAACAAATCTGTGGACGTTCTTTCTTGGGTCCTGGGATTTTGGGAGAGGTGATATTCAGACCCTCCACCCATGCACAGGCCTTGCACCCACATGTATGGGGGGGGCAGGATTATTACCTCTGGTGACCCAGCCTGGGGCTTTGAAGTCCTCCTTCTAAATGGGAGCTCCAGGCACAAGCAGCCCAGAGTTATTAGGTGCAGGTTTATCTGGGGCTAATTTAACTTGTTAGGATAATTGTGCCAGAGGCTGCAGCTCTGAGGTCCCCACCTTAGTAATTACCCTTTTCTGGGTCTCTTTCATCTCTAAGGACTCTACCTCTCTGCTGAGCAGTTGCCATTCTCTCTCCCCTCCTTCCAAGGCTTGGGACCCCCCCCCCACTCCAATGCTTTCACAAGGCCTTTCGTTTTTATAAAATTTGCAGAAGTGTTATTCCAAGTACAGTCATTAAAGGCCACGTTTCTTTTTACTCTGCCTTCCTCTCTGTCACATTTTCTTTCCTGTCATGTGGGACTGGGACTGGAACTGGGAACATTTGGGGGATCCAGCTCACTGACTGTGAGAAACAGGAAGACTTCAAATGGGGTGCTATAAATGTATGATTTCATGCATGGCTCCCGGTCACCTCTGTGTATGCCAGTTACTGGAGAGGAATGGTTTTCTGGAAAACTCTTGGTGATGTGGTTCGAGTATATCCTAGGGTTCTTGGTACAGCAAGTGTGTGCGGCAGGGATGACAGGCAGAGAAACAAGATTTGAAATGTGCAGAGCCAGGAGCCATTCTAAGAAAAGTTCTTTTAGTCTCATAGTTTGTTTATAAAATTTGATAGAGCTCATCCAAATTTGCATGGATAATTTTATGCACCAGCTTGGATAATTTGGGGTGTATCATGAGGGTGCTGCCATGAGTGATTGGCATTCCACTTGGTAGGCTGGTTCTCCTAAGCGTCTGTATAGAGTACAAAGACATAGGGGAGGGTGAATCTGCTCTGTCTCTGAGAGGAGACATTCATCTCTTGCGGATGGACAGCAGTGCTCCTGGTCCTCAGGTCCTTGGACCTAGACTGAATGATGTCACAGTTTTCTTATTTTTCCAGCTTGAACCTGGCAGATCAAGAGACTGCTAAGCCTCCATGGTTTCAAGGGCCAATTTTCCTCCATCCCGCCCTCCTCACCATGAGAAACTGAAGAAAGTGGAGAAAACCAGCTAAGCACATGTGTTCATTTACTCATTGCTTCCTGGTTGTAAATGAGGTGTGACTCCTTCTCAGAAGAGGCCTCCTCTGCCACAGTGGTGAGGACAAAGGCTCCTTGCCTAAGGAAATAGTGGCCCCTCCTGAAACAGTTGCTATGCTCCTAGTCCCTAAGAAGCTGGGAGACACAGAGTGGCGCACAGGGAAGGAAGCACACTGTATTTCAAAAGAATGACTCAAGTTTTCTAATCTGTTAGAGCTGAAATCAGAAGACCATGAATATACAAAGATATTCAAGGGGCGAGGCAATTGGGGTGCATAAAAGTTTCATCAGGCAAAATGCATTTATATTATATGGATCAAAAGATGAGCCACCATGAGTGTGCTGTAGAGTTTTATGTCAGCTTGACACAGCTAATGTCATCTGAGAGATAGAAACCTCAATTAAGAAAATGCCTCCATAGGATCAGGATGCCCGCAAGTCTGCAGAGAATATCTTAATTAGTGATTGATGGGGGAGGGCCCAGTCCATTGTGGGTGGTGCCATCCCTGGACTGGGTTCTATAAGAGAGCAGGCTGAACAAACCATGGAGAGCAAGTCAGTAAGCAGCACCCCTCCATGGCCTCTGCATCAGATCCTGCCTCCAAGTTCTTGCCCTGTGTGAGTTCTTGTCCTGACTTCCTTCAGTGATGAACTGTGATGCTGAAGCAAAAGCTGAATAAATCCTTTCCTTCCCAAGTTTCTTTGGTCATGGTATTTCATCACAGCAGTAGTGACCCTAAGACAATGAGACATCTAGAGATATCCACCTTTTTTGGCTTCATGTAGAGGAAGATTTAAAAGCAAAGGGAGATCAAAATGCTTAGTGGCTTTGCCATTTAAGACCTATTCATTTGCACTGTGGGGTTCATTTCACCCATACCCTGAGAAGTAGACTCTTGAGGGGAGCCCCAGCAACCTGGGAGAACCCTGTGCCTGACTTGTCCATGGAAATCTGAGGAATTCAATTGCAAACCCAAGTTCAACAAGAACAGTTGGGTCCTAGTAGTAGGAGCCAAATGGATATACTCAACTGCTAAAGGCAGACACACCCCAAAATAATGTTTTATCAGCTCTCTGGTATCCCTAAGCCCAGTCAAGTTGAAATAAAACTAACCATCACAAATCCACTCCCTGACAACTTGGTACCAGTACACCTCTTCTTAAGTCATAATTTCACCTCAAATGCAATGATCTCTTCTTAAGAACTGATCCCTTATCCAGGGAGTTAATGGCTCAAGTAATGACTTGTTGCTGGAGTTTCTTGTCCCACCACCCTTCTCAAATAAACACAGAGAGACATATACTAATTATTAAACTGTTGGCTGATGGCTAGGGCTTTGTTGTCTAGCTCTATCTTAATTATTAACCTATTTCTATTAATCTATGTATTTCCACGTGGTCTTGGCTTACTGGAGAAGGGTCTGTTCCTGTTACTCCTTCAGTGGCTTCATGGCATCTCTCATGGTGCCTCTCTGCCTACATCTCCCAGAATTCTCCTCATCTCCTAGCCCCATCTATCTTCCTGCCTCTTTTGGCCAAATAGTGTTTTATTCATCAACCAATAAGAGAAACACATATATAGAAGAACATCCCCCATCAATGATTATCTTAATTTTTTTACAACTTAAAATACTATGGTGTAAGGTCAACATTACTCAATTGCTGATATGAAGTCAGCCATCATCTGCTACATCTGAGTGTTTCTGAAAGAGATGGGTACTTCCAGTAGACCAAGGAAAGACCTGCCATCACCCACATGGTGAGACATTCAACCTTTGAGGGCTGAACAGAACAAAAAGGCAGGCGAGGGATGCGTTTGTTCCCCCAAATTGGTATAGCCATCAATGTCCTTGGGACATTGATGCTCCACTCCCATTTTCAGACCTTGAGAGCCAATTACACATTTCACTAGTTTTGCTCCTCTGGCAAACAGTAACCGATGTAAGACCCATCCTAAAATTCACAGCATAGCTGTGAATTCAAAATAAATGCTTCTAAGTTCCCAACAATAATATACAAATTTTGTCTGACTATGCTGGAGGGATGGGCCATGCTGGACCATAAAAGGCCACAGGCATGTGATAGAACAACCACATGAAGAGATCATGGAGCCAGAATGTAGGGAAGAATACTGCAAAAAAAGTGTGTTGGCAAGTTGAATTTATTAAATTATTTTTCTTGTTTCTGGGTGTATGCCATCTTTTGAAAAGGATGAGTTAATGAGATTTCTTAAAATGGAGAGGCAATCTAAAGGGACAGTCACCTTTCAACCTAGTTGTTGTATTTGTCATTCCATGTTCTTCTTTTTCCCTCGTGTTGATTTTAGGCTCCCCAAAGGCTTGTATCTATTTTGGTAATTGGTAATTGTGATGGTTAATATCAGTTGTCAACCTGACAGGATCTACAGTCACCTAGGAGACAAACCTCTGGCACACATGTGGGAGATTTTCTAGTTTAAGGTGAGCCTCTAAGAAAATCTGTAAGGGATTGTCTTGATTATATTAATTGACATGGGAAGAGCCATTTTCTCTGTGGAAGGGTCCCTTCCCTGGTTGCGTGGGGAACATGGACTGTGTGAAATGGAGAAAGAGAACTGAACACATGCATTTGTTCACTCTGCTTCCTGACTGTGAATGAGACATGGCTGCTTCAAACTTCTGCTGCCTCAACTTCCCTTGTGTTGGGTCCAAAGTGTGCCCCCCCCCACTCAAAATGGCAGTGCCATTGCCATTGTCCTAAATCACAGTCTGGGCTCTGTGTAGGCTGGACTCTGACTAGGTAAACAGAGGATTGCTGGTAGATAAAATCAGCATTCCTCAGAAATGTGTGAAGCAGGTTTCTGTTTGTCAGGAAGAACCACTGCTTCCCTTATCTGCTTCTACAGCCACGGGACATCTAGTTTCCTAGTAACACATACCTACTAATGGGGGATGTTCTTCTGTTTATATGTTTCTCTTGTTGGTTGATGAGTAAAACACTGATTGGACAGTAGCCAGGCAGGAGTAAAGGTGAGGCAATGAGAGGAAGGAGAAGGAGAGAGAGGGAAGCTGCAAGAGAGACACCATGAAGAGACCAGAAGATAGAAAGCAGCAGGCATTCTCTGGTAAGATAAGGCCATGTAGAAACACATAGATTAGTAGTTGTGGGATAATAATTAAGAGAGAGCTAGCCAGTAAAAAGCCTTATCGATCGGCCAACAGTTTATAAATTAATAGATGTCTCTGTGTGTTTATTTGGGGCTAATCGGCTTTGGGGCCAGGCTGGAAAGAAACTGCAGCTACAACCTATAACAAGTATCAAAGGCCCCATGATAGTTCCCAGGTTGTTCCAACTTACACACCTCCTTCCACTGCTAACTGACAAGGTTTCCCCCCCCCCCCAGTTTGCTATTCTCTTTGCCCCCAAGAGAGAGTCATGGCAGCTTGAGGTTCCCCAGTAAACCTGTCTTTCTACTCGTGGAGTGCTCCAGTTTGGTGGTTTCTCTGTGCCCTTTCTTTCACCTTGAACTATGAAATAGACTAAACCATTTCTCCTTTAACTTTTATCACAGCTACAGGAAATAAAAAGGCTAAGACAGCACTGTTGGCATTTGTCTGTGAGGATGGAGGAGGAAGAGCAGGTTGCCTTAAGATCTTTTGAGGCCTTGAGGGAAGAAGGCAGAGCCCAGCAGAACTTACTAAAGGTAGAGCTTTGGTGAGTCAGGATCCCAGGGTCCTTAGATATCTGGATTTAGGTCTGGCTGTGGTCAAGGCAGGAGAGCGACCCGGAGGGGGACGGCACCTTGGCACTGTGCTCATTGAATGTGGACATTCCTATCAGTGAGTATTTCTTTAATGTCATGTCTCCCCTAAGAATGTGAGCTTCATGAAGACAGAAACCATGTTGGTGCAGCTCCTCATGTATTCCAGAGTTCAGCACAGGGCCTGAGCACACAGCTATGCCTAGTAGACCCACGCCACCCTCCCCTGCAGTGACCTTAGAGTTCAGCATCCTTACCCTGTCCACCACTCATGTTCTCCAGCATGTGTGTATTTACAGGTGATCAAGGGGAGTAGGCTCTCTGACCTCTTTTTCATGCTTGGTGCAAGAATCCCTGCTTTGGCTGGTTTGTATCATTAAATTTATTCTAACCTAGAAAGGAAGTCTGTTTCTCTGTCTCTGTCTGTCTGTCTGTCTCTGTCTCTCTCTCTCTCTCTCTCTCTCTCTCTCTCTCTCTCTCTCTCTCTCTCTCTCTCTCTGTATTTTACCTTGAATTGGGTCTTCTCACACTGTTCAGGCTGGTTCCCAACTCATGGATATGAGCAATTTTTCTGCCTCAGTCTCCTGAGTAGTGGGACCTTAACATTCATCACCACCTGCAGCTCTGGGTTTGTTATTTATTTATTTATTTATTGGTTTATTTATTTATTTAGAGACAGGGTCTCACTACGTAGTCTCAGATAGGCTGGTACTCACTGTGTAGACCAGGTTTGCCTCCATCTCACCAAGATTCCCCCTTGACTTCTGCCTCTCTGGTGCTGGGAAGTTGGTTCTTTGTTTTTAAATGATCACACACCAGTAGTTTTATTGTTACTAATTATTACACTCTTAGTACATATTGTAAAAAAATCTAAATTTCTAAACTCAAAGCAACTTATGAATTGCAGTAAAGTTTAACTAGCACAGCAAAGATACTCATTTCAAAAGCTTTTTTTTTTTTTTAACATTTCTATAATTGTTAGGAAGAGAGGGGGCATGCTAATTGATGCGGCCAAGTCTCCCCTGAGGCTCGAATTCTAGTTCAAAGAACACAGAGTATTTCGGTGTATATGACCAGCAGGGTGGTGTGGGTGTTGGATGAGGTTATGGAAGGCTTAAACCAAACCAGGGCCAAATGCTCATGACCAGTGAAAATACCTCAGTCTCTACCGCTCCTGCCAGAAAAAATTCACCCCCCCAAAAAAACTTTTCCTCCAAGTTATTAAGCAAGGCTGATTCTCCCCCTACAGTGTCGGTGTTGGAAGAAGACATTTCATGGTAGTTTATCCACCACCCCCCCCCTATTCTCTGAATGATGTTGGTCTGCAGAAGAGATTATTTGCACACACACCAAAGATTTGCTTGGGGATGGAGGGATGATGGCTCAGAGGTTAAGTGCACACATCACCAGTCTAAAACTCACCAGGAAGCCAAGGTTTTCCGTCAACTCTTGATCCTCCTGCCTCCACCTCCTAAGTGCTGCT